TATATATATATATATACATATACATATATATATATACATATATATATATGTGTATATATATAAATATATATATATATATATATTTATATTTATATTTATATATATATATAGTTCTTGTTCATGAAAGAATATATTTAATTCTTTCATAAACAAAAAATTAAAATTTTTTTTTTTTTCATAAACAAAAAATATAATTTAAATTTTCGTGAGATATAGTAATATAATACTAATACATTAGATATTTTTTTATTAATATGTTCACCCAAAATAATTCGTTAATATTTAAAAATATTTTTAGATTATTTTTATGTTTATTAAGCAGTTGAAAAATATTTTGTATTTTTTTAATGATTTGACATTTAATTTGTTTTTTTTATTTAGTCACAGTATCTAGCATCTGTCTCTTCATTACAAAGGCTTCCGTTTTATTATTCAATGAGAGAACCGTTCATAAAGTACTTTTTATTATTTAATTTTAATGCTCAAGTTATGCTATATATTTTTTATTTTAGAAATTGTAATAATCTTTGCTATTTGTTCTTAATATATTTTTTATACCTTGTTTAATTATGTACATTTTTTATATAAGAAGTTAATGATCCACAAAATTTGATATTCTTAGGATGCAGCAAGCACCCCCTGCTTCAACAATTCCTATGCCTCCAACATCTTGGCAAAACTCCCTAGAAGATGGAGGCTATATGTCAGACGATCAAGTAGGTAGTCCAGTCCACAATAACTCTTGGATTCGTGCTGTTGATACACATCCAAAGCAAGTTAATACAAGTTCTGTTGCTCCATCATGGAGCATGTGGAATCCGGTTCCTTTTCCTATTTGGCAATTTCATCTAAGCGCTAATAATACTCCTGAACATTACATGACGTCATTTTGTATTTCCCCTAATGAACATCCGCGTTGTAGTCAAAGAACTTCGCCTATTTTTATCAAAGATAGTCCTTCTTCTCCTTTAAGCGTGATTACAATATCAAGTACTAGTGAGAGCGAAGAAGACATGTCGTTTAGTTGTGATATGCATCTTAGTAAAAGAAACGAAGGCAGATTTAATCACTATGATGTTGGAAAAGCTTGGCAATTTGTTCCTTATAACTCTAGAAAATGTGTGGCAGAAACTCCGAGTCCTGTACAATCTCGAAATTTAAGAGAGCTACCGGTATTGCATAACATAAGAAGTCCGCAAAGTACATTTACTGAAAGAAATACTCATTTATTAGGAAGTGCTTTTATGGATTTGCGATATCTCCATCCAACAGCAGAACAAGTTGTCTGTAAACAAGAGCCTGTTAGTCAAGGTTTTGATTCTCATCAAGAGTTTGTAACATCCTTACCATCTTTGGTTCCTTCCCTAAATTCTTTTAGTCCTGTTGCAATTGTTCCATCGTTAACATCCTCAACAAAACATATGTATCCCTCGTGTTATATATCTCCTGTATCAAACGCTTTGCGGCAACAAACCATGGTCGTGCCATCAAATCATTCTGTTTCAAGTGCTTTTCACGCCGATTTATGTAGTGCCCGTTCTGAATACGTTGGAATGCACATCGGAAACACCTTGTCTAACCAACATGTCTCTTGTAATCATTGTTGTATGAGTCGTATTCCTTCTCCGTGTTCTCAATCTTATGGGACGTCTTTACACCGCCCTGCTTTTCAAGCAGTGTCTCAATCAGAATTATCTTGTCCTACTTATTCGTATTTCGGTCGGTGACTTTAAAAAATACTTATTGTTTTATATATTAAGCGATATTGCTAATTCCTATATGTCTTCTTTTATACCGTTTGATTATGTATGAAAAGCTTGTTTTTAATGTTCTTATATAAAGGCGAAATATTTCTTTATATATAGTTAATTCAAAAAATCTTTAAAACTTTCGAGGAAAGACTTAAAAATTATTTTTAAATATAAATGCGTTTTAAACTCGAACTTTATGATTTATAATTTTATTTAAATAGCTTTAAAATGATATCTTTTAATTATATGAATGAAATGAAAAGAACAATTGAAAGAAATGTCATTTCAAAACTTTACACGAATGTTTTTTAAAGTCTATTGGTATATATTGAAATATATTTCTTTCAATTTTCAAATTTTGAAATTCAGAATGTTTATTATGAAATTTTTTTTGCTTATTTTGGAATAATTTAGGGAAAATATTTAAATTTTTTGAATAATTGCCAGGTTCAAGTGAAAATAGTTTTTACGAATTCACATTGTGACGACTGGTTCCAAATCACGAATTTTATGTAAATACAGACCAGCGATATTTCTTAAATTGCGTAATCTCTAAATTTTTTTAAGTTGGTTAGGATTCTATGGGGTTCTATAAGCATGTGCGTAGATATTGTTGTATATAAACGGCGAATTTCTTAAATTATTGTATTTGTGGTCACCATGTACGTTTGTGTTAGTATTTGTAAATGTTCGTAGCATTTGTAAAAGCTTTTAAAATAAATGTGGAAATGAAGTAAAAAGTAAAAACAGTTATTCTTTTTTTTATTTTAAGAAACGCATGTCATACTTAAGTTGCAGGTTTCAACTTGTCTATTATCAAGAATTTAAAGGTTCATAATCTTGACTTTTTCAAAGTTGTGTTTAGATATAACACTTTCAAACAGTCATTGTTTGATATAAATGAAAAAATGGATTTTTTTTAAATTATTATTTCAAAACTATACCGAAATAAAAAATCCTGCTTTTGACCGCTTGTATTCCAAAAAAAGTCTCCTGCTAATGTATATTTATAAACCAAATATATATTTATAAATTTAAGAGATTTTAGAGAATTTTGTTACTATAAAAATGATTCTCCTTTAAAAATTAAGTTTGTGCTAACTTAGGCAAGCAAAGTTTTTGAAATTAATGGGTGAAACTGTTAACATAAAAATCCTATTTTAAAAATGTATTGTGTATTCATAAGATACTAACGTTTTTCTACTTTTATTTCACTTTTATCGAGTCCGGCTACGTGTCACGATTTTTTGAATTAGGGGAAGATAAGGAACGTGACATCTTAATTTAAAAAATGTAGCGAAGCAATTGGACCTAAATCTCATTCGTTGTTCCACGTTTTGAAAGTGAACACTGACTGGATTTTCGAACCAGATTAGCAATGGCACTCAAATCATGAATTTAGAGTTGCAGAGCATTTTGTTTGTTCAGAAAAAGTTGTCAACTATGCAGCTGAGCGTGGTATCAAGTTAATCTCGGATTTTGCAACAACCATTACAACTGATACTGAGGAAAGGAAATGGATAATGCAGTTCAGGTCATTCTCATCTTCACAATCTCATAACTCAGAAAATGAAGTAGAAGAAATCTCTTCAACAAAAACGTGAGGGATGCTTATATTTAGAGTCTATAATTAACATAAAATGTATTTTTATATTCCTTTAAACTCAAGGTTGTTTAAGTAGGTTAGAAAAAATGATAGGTTTTTTCCTAACTTTTGTCTTAAGTCTGCATTTGACATTTTGAGGGTAGCCAATGTCTATCATTACTTGATAATATTCCAGAAAAATCCTTGCCTTTTACAAAAAATTTGCTATAAAAATATGCTTAAGCTAGTTTCCTCATCAAATTTACAAAATTTTCACATATCATTACCGTTTTCGATAAGTATTTTTTTTGTCTCAGAAATAGACAAATTGTGAGATATGTTTTCCAAGTCTAAGTACTTGTTGCATGTAATTACTTATTAGACCTAGTTTTCTTAGATATTTTTGAATTTGGATTTATTTTATAATAATGATTTTTCTGACCTTTAAAAAAAAAATAAACCTTTACTAGTTTACTAAAACTCTTAAAAAGTTTTTTATAAAAAAAAAAAACAAAAATAAAAAAATATTATAAAACAGGGAACTTTATTTTATTTTTATAAAAAATAAACGAAAATAAAAAAAGTTTTAAAACAGGGAATTTTATTTTATTTTTATAAAAAAAACACGAAAATAAGATATATTATAAAACAATTTTATTTTATTTTTCAATTTTGATCTTGCTAAAAAACCTGTAAAAAGTTTTACAAAACTTTCGCTTTATTTATTAAGTTTTTTTATTTTTCTGTTATACTAAATAAGTTTAAATAATTGTTATTACTAAATAGCTTAGTTTAAACAACAGTTTTGAATATATATATATATATAAAAACTTGTTTCATATAAAACTAACCATTGTTGCTTCATTAAGCTCAACCTTCTTAAATGTTAAAGGCTTAGAATATTATTCTATTATTTGTCAACTATATATAAGTTCGAGCAAAATGTGTGTAAATACTTTCATACTTTTCTAATGAAAAGAAACTTAACATTACCTTTGCCTCAAAAATATCATTAAATTATGAAGAAGGCTGTTGCTGTTTGTATGTTTGCATCTATTTTAAACAAAATTTTTACAAATGTTTCCTTGGTTATTTTGTTCATAAATTAGACAAAAATTTAAGCCTAATTTACTTAAAAAAGTGGAACTACGAGAAAGTCCACTTTTAAGTAAGTTAGGCTTAAAATTAAATTTAAGCCATAGGACTTAATTTTAACTCCGTACTCTGTCGTTTTTTTCCAAGAAAAGTCCTCCATTTCAGGATTTTTTTTCTTATTTTGATAACAACTTTATGTAAAGTATTAGTTTTAATGTTTACTCTCAATCTCTGGATTCTTTCCTTTTTTAATTGGAAGTTTATGTAAAGTATTAGTAATGTTGCATAAGGTTAGCCCACCTTTTTTTAATTCTTTTCTTTTTTTTAATAGGCAGTTCATGTAAGTTATTAATAATGTTGCCTAAGTTTACTCTCCATTTTAAATTCTTTCTTAGTCTTGACTTAGGTTAATATATATCTTTAGGTTAATATATATTACGCGTGATATATATCCATATTTTTATTTTTAAAAATATTAATTTATGCGGCCATGGCACACTGTCAGAGCGCTTGTTTAAAAGCAGAAGACCGAAGCTCGAAACGAGCTCTGGGCATATTTTCGCGTCACGGTAAGGAAGGAGGTGTGAACTTCCTGGTTAAATGCACTTTCGCGATGCTCTGTGACAAGACCGTTTAGTCTTCTTGGGGCATTTAAGTAACAAAACAAAAAACAAAACAAAAAAAACAGATTATTATATTAGTAGTTTCATAACACCATCGATATAAAACAATATGAAACACCCCTTTATGGGCCAAACTATGAAATTCACTTTAAAATAAATATTTAATAATATTTTCACAGCAGTTTTTTTGCTGAGGTTAGCAATTTTCTAAAAACAGTTGCCATTTGACAACATTAGCCTTCCATAGTTATTAAAAAAAAAGTTACACATTTCCTAAAATATATATTAAAAAATATATATTTTAGAAAATCTATAATTGTATATTTTATATACAATTATGCAAAAGTTATACATTTTCTAAAATATATAATTTTTAATATATATTTTAGAAAATGTTTAATTTTTTTTTTTATTATGTACCATTATGAATATGATAATGATAAAAAAAGAATACCATAATGATAAAAAATATTCTTTTTGTCATCAAAAAATTAGAGAACATCTTGATTAAATTTATAGCACAACAGGTTTGACTATGGTTAGGCAGTAACTATATAATTAAGGCAGTATACAGTACACAGTATATATAGGCAGTAACTATATAATATAACTCCCGCGGTGCTCTATGATAAGACCGTAAGGACTTCTGGGAGCACCTAAATACATACAAAAAAAATAAATATATAATTTATTAAAAAAGTAAAAATTATTATGTTTATTGTAACCAAATTAAAACATATTGCATATACGTAGTAAATAAACACAAAAATAGCAAAGGTATTGCTGGTTACATACATTATTTTATTCCTAATAAGTAATACGTAATGTAATTTTGCCACTCTAAATATATGAATAAGTTATTTTGTGAAACCCATGGAAATAATTTTTGTTCTGGGCAAAGAGTCAGGCAAAGAGCTATTTTGCATTTTATACAATATACCTGACTAAACTACAATATATCCAGTCTTGCAGAATCAACATCTGTTTTTTGAACTTTTATACTATGGCCAATGATCAATGCTATCATAGCAAACATCCACACAAGGGTTTGGTACTAAAGATTTAAAACCACGGTTACTTGTACTTTCATCAAGATCAGTCAATCTCTTTGATGGTCTACCAACTGACCTTGAAAGTAGTTTTTTTCCAGCAGATATAAGAGCTTCCGTCACACTGGAAATAAATATTAACAGTGACTACTGACTTTTTTTGAATATATTTAATTGGTCAGCATGTTTTCAATAAAGAAGCCATCAATTGACATTACTGATATCTACACTATGAAATATCACCATCAAATAACATCTCTTTGTTTTTATTGATGAGAGAAAAAAAGGGGTATAAGCATGTCAGCCAAATCTCCCATAAACTTTTTATACTTCTTCACAACTTTAGGACAGGAAATATTGACATTTGATTTATTTTTTCAATTCCATTTTTTGACACTTGGTAATTAAATGGGAGTTGAGAATGTAGAAACAATTTGAACACACTTGTTGTCAAACCAAAACCAATCCTGATATTGACATCTGTGAAATAGCAACTGCTGCCACGCCCTTATTTTTTAATTCTTTCTCTGTTTGAGAGTGGACATTTATCAACTCTGTTAGATCTAATTATTGCTGTGGTTAAAATTCATCAACTTCAAACGCAGATCCAGAGATGTAAACCATTTGTCAAAAAGTAGTTTCTGATTATTATTTTTTGGAAGTATTTTGCAAAGCTTTCTTACAACATATTTCGATTTTTGTTTCATATTTCCATTTGCTTCAGAATACAAAAAAAAAAAAAAAAAAAAAAAAATCATACATGGTACCAGATGCGCCAGCTCTAACAAAACTTTCAAACCGCTATTTTACTGGCTTGTTTGCAATATACTGACGTATGCCACTAAATTTGGTTTTAGCTTAACTAAATATTTTGTTCGCGGTTTATCTGTTTTTTCTCATGTTCAATTATTATGCACAATATTGCAGTGGTGTTTTTGTGGGTGCAGGTGACAATAGAACTCTGTATAAAAGAGTTGTTGCATTTATAATTATTAATTTAAAGAAATTTATTCTTTATATTATGAAAGTAGTACCTGAAGTAGTAAATGGCTTTTAGAGCAAATATAAGATTCTATTAGTTTTCTTTCTCTATCTGGTTTTAAAATTTAAGGAGTTGTTACTGACAATCATCAAGCAAATGCAAATGGATTTAGTTTGCTTTATTCCATATTTGGTATTCCGTCAAATATATTTATTTATTATTCAGATAGCCTGAATAGTAAAATATTCATTTTATGATAGTGTTCACATTGTTAAAAACATCAGAAATAATATATTACACTGTAAAAAAACTGTCTTTCCATCATTTACATATAATATAGAATAAGACGTCTATAATTGTCTAGCTGGTTATATAACTTGGGGAGATTTTCATCTCCTACTTTCTAAAGATGAAC